GGGGGGGGGGGGGGGGGGGGGGGGGGGGGGGGCGGGGAAGGGGGCACAGGCGGTATCGAGCAGAGCTCTGTACAGTAAAACAGCTGTTACCTGAGCCTTTAGGCGAGCGAAAGACTCCCTCCACCTGTATCCGCCACTGCGCATGGGAAAGCTGAAATTAAGTTTACGGGGCCAAACATAGGCTGGGATTATTATTCTAAAAGCTCAGTTTACTGGCTTTCACAGCTCCCGAAATAATCGCCCCCCTCCCACTCCCGCAGAAAACTTTCGCGGGGTCCTACGTAGTGTACCCCAGGGCAAAGGAAGGCTGAAATTAAAATTACGGGATTACACGTGCGTGGAGAACATTCCCGTAAAATTTCAGCTTCCTGGCTTTCATGGTTTCTGAGTTGAAAGTTGTGGATAAACGAGACAACTCTGTGACAGTATGCGCGTTTTGTGCAGCTGTTGCACAACACAAAACGCATAAAAATTGTGTAAAAAAATTTTTTGATGGGAAGAGGGTCTCGGGACCAGACCATGTACTAACTTCACAGGGATATTCTCTACCCTTTTATGAGCTAAAGATTTTAAATCCAGTTCGAATTTACGTATATGTCATATATATGAACAGACCAAAGTTACGATTTCACAACAGCTAGCAAAATGCTGATTCGGAAACTAGTCTGTAGATTCATCTGATTTTATAAGAGTATTTGCTGACTACATGCGAATACTTATACGTGAAATGCGCATTTGCATATTTCTATATCACACGTACATGACCAAAGGATTCTGAAATTCCCGAGGTGAACTCAGACGACCTCATCACTGCAGGAAATCGTGCAAAAACGCGTGTTCTTATCGAGAAGTCTGGTACGCGTCATAGTTGACTTGCCTTTTTTATGCAGTAGTTATGCGTATAATTAACTATAACGAGCACGAGGCATGCCGCTGCGATCATGCGTCTTTACAGTGAAATCGCTTAGACTTGCACATATCATTATAACCCTAGAAAATTTCAGCTTCCTAGCTGCCAAAATCGTTTTCATGCTAGAAATAATATGCCTGTAGCGAATGATATACACGTATGCGATTGTTCATTTCGCGAATAGACAGCGAATATTCTTCTCAATTTAGAAGGACTACTCAGCCTTGTTCCAAGATGGCACTTCGTCAGCTATTATGAAATCACGATTTTGATGTGTTCGTAAACATGACCTCGTATATTCAAACTGAATTTGAAATCTCTAGTTCACAAAAAAGAATATCCTTGTGAAGTTTCAGTTTCCTATCCTCCCAGTTCCCGAAATCCTTTTTCAGCCAGAAAATTTACAAAAATTCTTTTGAGCATCCGTACATGAAACGCAGGTGTACATGAATGATGATTCTAAAAATAGAGCATCGCATATGGGGTGGGAACATTAACTTCACTGATTGCTAAGTTGAAATTGGATGACAGAATGCGAACACGCACACCGACAATCTCTGGTCACTGTGCGTTTTGCATTTGCATAAATGTGTAAAAACGCGTAAAATATGCATTTTCGTGCAACAAGCGTCTTTTCAGTCACTGCTGCTGATTGATTCGGCGAA